ATAAGAACTCAGGCCAGCTACTGAGCAGGGTAAGCCAATGGTGGCCTGGCCAGCCGCTGATTTCGTGTGTCATTTGACCCTTATATTTTTTCCCATGAAACTACCCAAAATAGCTCCTACTGGGCGGCTAATTATGAGATGCGGCCATTTCACATCTGAATCATCTCTAATCCGAGACTGGCAACCGAAACCAGACCGTCTGCCGCGGCTAAATTTTGACAGGGAATGCTTTACGGTTCTTGTTCCTCATAGTTACTTTATCATGTTCACAGGGCAAATTTTATGGCTAGCCTCTTTAAATGTCTAAATATTATTCCTGTATAACGTGATGCAGCTTGGGGCAGAGTTTACACGACGTTACATATGTCGTTATGTCATTAAAACTTTGATAGGGTTCGTTTTAATTTAAAAGTAATTTATATAAAAATCTGTAATAATTACTACCGCAGCGTATTAACAATAACCGCTTATATTCCAAAATTCAAGCAAAGCATTTCATTATTGAAGAAATTGTGAGTGTCTCGGGTGATTAACAAATACGTTTATTGGTTTTAATTTAAAACTAATCATTGTAAAAATCTGTAATAATTCCTGCAGCAGCGTATCAATAATATACTACTTATATTTCGAAATTCAAGAAAATCTGTTCATTATTGAAGAAAATATGAATGTCTCGGTTGATTAAAAAATAAGTTTATTGGTTTGAATTAACAACTAATCAATGTAAATATCTGTAATAATCCCTGCAGCAGCGTATCGATAGTAACTACTTATATTCTAAAATTCAAGTAAATCTTGTTGCAAATAAAAACTTGATTTTTAATCAACCAAGACACTCATAATTTCTTCAATAATGAACAGATTTGCTTGAATTTCGGAATATATTTAGCTACATGAACCTGCATGGACCGTGCCAGGTTCATAAGCTAGTTGAACTACTCGTATGAATTTTGACGAGGTTTTATATTAATTGCATACTTTTATACTAAAGTTTGTCCCTATACTAAAGTTTGTCCTATGAAGTTTGCATCTTTTGTTCACTGGTTTGCGATTCAATCATCAATGCCCTTCCCCCATTATCATCGAAATTGTTTTCCCTTTATCAACGAGATGTTTTCCCCATTATCATCGAGATGGTTTATATTGTTTGTTTCCGGCACTTCCTATTTTCTTCTCCAATTTATTGACATTACATAGTTTTCTTTCTTAGTTAAATCTAGAAAATTATTTTGAATTTGTTTTGACTGCTGTTATTTTTATTTTGGTTGTCTTACTATCATTGCTTTTGTTGTATAAAGATTAACAAAATATAGATTTCTGGCATACATATTTTCCTGCCTTTGAAGCCCTACCTATTCATAAGCCAACATTTATGCATATTTTGATCGGTTAATACCAAGTGAGGAAGTCAACTCTCCTCACAAATAAAATTACTGAGTAAAACATATATATTTTTAATCCCTCTTTGTGTTATAGCTACGTTGATTAGTAATTGCTCTTGATAGTTCTTGCTAATTGCTGCGGTTTCGTTGAGTTACTTTTGTATCTGTAGTTATCATCTATCATTTTCCTTTTATTTATTTTAAACATGGCTACCTTTATCTCCGTTTCCCTCTGCATTTCCTTTTCTATTTCCCTCTGCATTTCCTTTTCTATTTCGTCTCCGTATTTCCCCTCTGTATTTCCGACTCACCGGCGTGATTTCTCCGTTAAATTGTTAATTCCCTCTGACATTATTCATCATCACCTTTGAATTCATCACCTCTGATATTCATCATCACCTTAATTGCTGAATAATGATTATTTTTGTATTAGAGTATTAAGCGTATAAATAAACCGATGGCAAATGCTAACTCCGATTATACTTGATTGCGTCGTAGCAGAATAGTGGCATGAAGCAAACAGAGGAGCGAAGGCTGTGCATGCTTATAAAATTGTTGTTCTGTTGTTCATAATTTTTTTTTCGGTAGATATTTTCCCCCCTAAAATTAATCCGGCCATTCACAAACTAATGACCTAACCTAGAGCGGGCGCAGTTCAACTTTTGAGAATATTTTAATTTGCTGAAGATTGAATATCATTTCTTAAGCAATTGAGGGGCCCTAAAAAGAGCCAGGTTGTACTTGAGAGCATCTGGTTAAGCCCTCATTATGCCGCCAATTCATACTCTGACTTAGGCACGTTCTCCACGGATGCGGCGAGCAAGCTGGATATCCTTGGGCATGATAGTGACACGCTTGGCGTGGATGGCACACAGGTTTGTATCTTCGAAAAGACCCACGAGGTAAGCCTCAGAAGCCTCTTGAAGAGCCATCACGGCCGAAGATTTTACACCGAGCATGCTAAGAGGAAGACCGTCACTGCCATGGATGTCGTGTACGCTCTGAAGAGACAGGGCCGTACTCTCTACGGCTTCGGAGGTTAAATAAAATGGCCTTCATTGAGTCCGCACCTGGAGACCGGTGCCGTGGACTCGGACCTTTTCAGGTCCACAAATCTATCCAGAAATAATGTTCATTGTTTTCTAGAGCTATCTAGATAGCAGTACCGAAGGCCTCTTGCAATGTACGAGTTTTTTCGAACATCATAAACGCTTATGGCCTCGGTGAAATCAGTCGAAATGAGAAGGATTGTTTGGAAGAAACTTCTATTAATAAGTTGAGCAGTCTTTGATGCATGCACACAATTGTGATTATCACAAAAATTGACAAATGAAATTAACATCCACCTCGTTCATTTACGGTGCGATTATTCCCAGAAAATTAGCGCTTCGGTTCCAACTCGTTACATTATTGAATTGATTAATGAGTCTCTTCTTTCATGTATATTTATGAGTTATTCCTTTTTAAAATTGGAAGCAGATAAAATGCTCATGCAAACAGCTTAGCTCGACATATATTAGCACCTGATAGAAATTTCAATGCAACAAAGAGCTTCAGCGATGGCATACGCTCGAACCTTGATACAAATAGGTCACTGTGCTTTCACAGGCAAAACTTGGCATCTAGTGCATGAATATGCAACATAGC